TTTCCAAGGGAAGTGGTGAATTCCCCAACCTTGGACAGTTCTAAGGCTCAGCATGACAGGGTGCTGGGCCACCTCATTTATACTGTATTGCTTTATCTTAAAAGGTTGAGCTAGATGATCTTCGAGGTCCCTTCCAGTCCGGTAGTCTACGATTCTATAAAATAAATCTTGTTTTGGAGGACCTTGAGGTACCCTCTGATAATTTTGTGTGTTGAAGCTTTTCGCTCCAAATTTCTTGCGCAGTGGCCCGTATGTGGTTAAGCAATATGAAGTTGTCGTTAGTTCAGAAGCCGAGTTTAAACCCTGAAATTTCAGTTTCTGGAAGGAGCCGCCTCAGGCCCCCCGAGCAGAGGAACTCGCGTGGGTTGGCGCGAGAGGTTTAGCGTTGCTGCTGAATTAGCTGAAATAATGACGACAGCCAGGACGCGAAAGGGCAATTCCAGCGGATGGAAAGTCACCTTGGTGTCCCGGATGTTTGGGACTGGTAGGGTTCAAATAAAGGCAGGAGGTCCCGGGAGCAGAGAGCGGTGAACGGGCAGGAGGTTGTTATTCAGAAACAAGAACCGGCAGCAACAATTGCTCCTTCTGGTGTTGCTGTGGATCAAACTGACAAGTTAAATGAGGGAGAATATAAAGCTTTATTGAAATGCAGTGGAGAAAACTAGTATAGAGGAGCCAATGCAGATCAGCTACCAAAAAAAAAAAAGAGCTTTCTTAGGTGAACGTTGAATGATTCTTAAGAATTTTGCCTGAAAAACTGTCTGCCCTGCACATTTCAGTTCTTGTTTTTCTTCGCGAGTCTATTTTATATGCCAAAAATGCTAAACGCCGTGCTGCAAAATGTTTAGTATAACTTGGGAGCTAAATGGCTAGGAAGAAGCTAATGCAATTCAAGGGAAAAAACAAAAAAAAAGCCTTCTAAATTTGTCCTGGAGTCAGTAAAACAAACAACAGCAACAAACCCCTCCTGCTGCTGAGCATCGCGGGGGCAGGCGGCAGGCACGATTTTATTTCGTTTGGCTTGTTTCAACAGCGACATTTGTACCGGAGTTCAGCTGTCCTCTGAGATGCTCCCTTCAATGCTGACAGGCAAGAAAATGTGAAATAGAAGTAGTGATTTTTCAAAGAAAACAACCTTTTTTACTGCTGGACTTGTCGCGCTATTGTCTGGTGGGCCCTTAGCATGCGCCTCAGCATAAAAAGAAGCATCCAGCGCAGATAACGCTTTATTTTAATCCCCAGATGACAAGGGGAAATGCATAAATTTGCGACGGTTTGTTTGCACCGTGTCCTTCGTAAAATTCCAAATCGCAGCAGAAAACGACTCGGAGCAGCGCGGTTGTACGGCGACACCGCTGAGAATTAGTGTTTGGAGAGCTCTTTGTGGGGGAATTGGCTCTTAGGGTGCGAAGCAGCGTGACAGTCCTGCTGTAGGATTGGTAAGATTTAGGGAGAACACCTGGGGAAGCTGCTACAGAGTTGAGGTTTATGGTATGTAGTTTGCTTTGGAGGGCGGTCGTCATCCTTCTCCTGGGGTCCACAGTAGAAGAAAGACGTTAAGGTTGTAGTGAGGTGGGGATTGGCTTCTTCTCCCACATTACTGATGACAGGACAAGAGGAAACGGCCCCAAGCGGCACCAGGGGAGGTTTAGGTTGGATATTGGGAACAATTTCTTCACTGAGAGAGCGTTGAGGTACTGGCACAGGCTGCCCAGGGCAGGGCTGGAGTCCCCATCCCTGGGGGGGTCAAAAACCGTGCAGACGTGGCACCTGGGGACATGGTTTAGTGGTCAAGGTACTGCTGGGTTGGACTTCATGGTGGTGTTGGTTGGACTTCATCCAAAAAAGGTCTTTTCCAACCTTAATGATTCTATAACACTGCTTTAGAGACTGGTTTTTGAAAGGAGACGGGAAGTGGTGGCTGTTCTGCAGGTGAGGAGCATCTTATTCGCTCTCGGTAAAACAACCTTTAGGTGGCAGTGGCAAAAAATGAACAATTACAGTGAAAAACTGGCTGCTCTTGTAACTGAATCCACCTGAATCTGAACACGACGGTTTCCACACTAACGAGGTTGGTGGAACGAGGTCTCTGTGTATGTCACGTTCCTCTCCCGCGGGGAGAGGATCCTCCCGATGCGTGGAGAGCTGTGGCGCGTGGACCTGGGCAGAAGAAAGACCAAAAAGAAAGGGCCATAGCAACAGGGACAGCTTGAAATGAGTGCCCTGCTGCGGGGTAAACCGTAGTGTGAAGCCTCGAAGAGGTCAGAACTTCAGCGTTCGCATCCCAGCAGTTTATTTTAATGACTTGAATGATGGGAAGGTTTGCTCTTTTAATTAAGCCGAGGGTTTCCTTCATCTGCCGTCTCTTTTCCCACTGGAATAATATGAGAAACAGGATGGTAATGGCATCTGGATGAACCTGTTCTGTTACGGGGAAAATCTTTCTTCCTGTAGGTGTGCTGGTTTGGGAGAAGCAATAGCCGACCTCTAACTGCCTCAATTCTGTCTCCTCCTGTTGCTGTGTTGAATAATAGTAAACTAAAAAAAAAAAAAAAAAAGCTCAAATTACGAAATCTCCCCCCTTTTTTTTTTTTCCTTTTTTCCCCCAGCAAAACCAGAAGAGCCCAAACCAGCTGAAGCTGTGACAGGGAACGATATCACGGCACCTCCCAACAAAGAGCTGCCTCCCAGCCCTGAGAAGAAGACAAAGGTAGGGCTCGTTTCACCTTCAGCCTCTTTGCTGCCGTGGTTTTTATTTGCCGGCTTTTCTGCTTCTTAAGCAACACGAGTTCTGTTTTCTGAGCTGCCACTCGTGAACCGTTTGCCTGGAACAAAGGCATCCCCTTAGGAAGTTGCCAAGAACTCGGCAAACGTGACTGAAAGTGGATTTAATAAATGGGTGGTGAGCTTTATTTAAATTAATTCCCTGGCTGGTATCAGTGGTGTAGAAGTAGTAAACATGGATGATAACACCTCTGCTACACTGATACTCTCCTGGTCGTTTACAACCCCCTCATTTGCATCGCAATTAGCATTCGGGGGCCCTGCTCAGGAGCTGATACTCTCTTGTTTTGGGGCTGTTTATGAAACGCAAGAGGCACCTGCCTGCAGCAGCTTTCAGCGACTGCCAGCCCCAAATTGCAGAGCGGTGGCAGGGCCAGGGGGCTCTCGGTGCCCCCGAAGGCAGCGGCCGTGTGACCGCCGGGGCTGATCGGATGAGGATTTAGAGCTTGCAATCCCTTGTGCGCATGGAATTGGAAAGCAGAGTCCTGTGTACCGCACGTAGGACTAGATGCCAGGAACACCCAATTACTAATCCCAGCTTTACCAGCGAGTCCTTCTGTTGCTTTAGATGTTGCTGGAATAAATCCTGATCGCTTAGAATCGAATGGCAAAACTCCCCCGGGCTCTGAAGGCAGCTCCCTTCTGCTGCTTCATTTTGGTTGTTTCATTACGCTCAGAAAACAGAAAGCTAATTATTATTGTCATGATTTGGTTTTGGTTGCATTTAAAATCTCACTTTTATGTTCTTGCAGCTCAGTGTTTTGGTTTACAATGCGCTATTTTTTTGTTGTGTTTTTTTGTTTTCTTTTTTTGGTCTCGTTTCGGTTTTATACTGGACTTTGCTTTTTTGAAAAAACATAAAGCCTGCCGCATCCACATCATCTACAAAGCCTGCAGCAACGAAAGCCAGGCCCCTGTCCGCTACCAGCCCCAAGCCTGGCTCAAACAAAAAACCCACCAGCCCTACTTCAGGTCCTCCTCCAACCACTACCACTAAGCGCCCGGCCACCAGCACTACACGGCCCTCCACCCTAACTCCAAAAGAGCCTAAACCAAAGGTAAGAAACAACGGGTGGGAGCTCCAAGAGCTTTTTTCCATGTTAACGCACTGACTGTCTTGCCCAAGAGCCCAAAATTGCTCGTCGTGGGGAGGATAAGGTCAGGGCTTTGCTGCGCTGCGAGGGCTGCGGGGGTTGTTGGCATCAGCTGCCGTTCACCCACTTAGGAGCGTTTAATTGTGCCAGCGCAGAGGAGAAAATCAAACTTGACCATATCTCTGTGGTTTCCCCAGTGAACAGTCACAAAGTGCACAAGATAATTCCTCCTTTTTTTTCTGGTTACTAAAGGAAGGAGGGTTTTTTCTATGTAGACACACTGCAAACACAGGATGTCTCTTCAGTCCAGACAAGAGCCCAGGAGAGCTTCGGTGCTGGTGATGAGGGGGAAAAGAATCCGTTGGAACACTCCAGTTATCTCCCACTTCATGGTGTTTGGCCATTATAAAAACTCAACCAAGATAGCTGTCCGTACGCTGACGTGCTTGGGGACTGCTGGAGATTTGTAATTCCTCAGTGAGGGAAGGTTTGGGGCCAGGTCTTAGCATTGCATCTGAAGGCTGAGGTAGGGTGTCCACGTGTAACGTTAAGAACGGCCCTGGAGTCTTCCCTGCGTTAACTTGTGATAGGGTAGAAAAATTCGAATTTGAAGGAGAATGTTAAAATCCAGTGCAGAAGCTTTGAGCTGGTCTAAGTGCAGTGCTGGCGTTTCTGCTACACAAAAACTGCATTTGGATGGCTTTTAAAACTAGGAATAACAATAAGAGCATGAATCTGTACTTTTTCTGTGAACCAGCATCTTCAGTTTTAAGTTTTTGCGTGGTTCGGTATCCCTTTTTTGACGAAACCGAAATCTCATCTCATTTGTTCCCACACTTTAACTCAATATTTTAATACTTAAGAGATCAGCCAGTTTACAAACAAGTGGCTTAGGAACAAACCCTGGACACCTTATTCTTGTGTCCACAGTGGTTTAGTAAGTGCCTGCTTAGCTCAGGATTCATTTCTGCTCGCGAAGGGAAGAAGCCTCTCCCAGAAGTCTTGCTAGTGCACTGATGTTTTCCATTTTGTTCCGAAACCAAAAGGTCACTCCCATCCGTAAACGGCCTCCACGCATCAGTGCTGAAACAGTTCGGGGTCTGTGCTCCATGTCCTGCACTGAGCACAGTCGGTCACTTCTGCGTGCCTTAATTTATTTTTTAATCTTCGGGATTATAATGTTTCGGCAGCACCTAGCTCCCGTGTTTAAGGATTTGAACAACTGCGATTTATTTCAGGCTTTTTGTTGGCAATGACTCCGGAAGAGACCGTCAGTGAAATGCGCTGGCTTTAACGTGGCCCGTTCGTTTTCAGGTTGCAGATGCGAAGACCACCGAGAAGCGGACCTCGCTTTCAAAGCCTCCATCCTCTACCGCTCCTCGAGCTACTACCAAGAGCACCCCTACTACTCCTAAGACGACAGCGACATCGCCGGTCACTGCGACCGCCGCTGCGAAAAATACTGCTGCTTCTCCTCCGAAGAGGCCAACATGTGAGTGGTCTCTTGCTTTCTCTTCCCAACCAGCTGCAGGTTGCGGTTGGCAAATCAGAATCATTCCCAGGATGAGCTCTCTGGGATTCAGGGTTAATACGATTCCTGAACGTGCTTGATTTAAGCAAAAAGGGGCTGTTACCTCTGTGCTTTGCCATTGTAACGGTTAGAATAAACACTGAAACCGGTTGGAAACTTGGGAAAAGCAAATCTCCAGAAGAGGACTTGAAGCACTCAAGCTAGTGCATCTGAAAAACAACAAGAAGTTGAGCAGAAGTGGAAGATTTTACTGGTGCAGGAAGCTGAAATTATATCAGCTTCATCAGAAAAGAGCGTCCCAGTCCCACTGTTGCCAAAGCGGGAACTTCCCATGAGTTCAACACAGGCAGCCTGAAACACGAGCAGCATGTTAGCGTTTTGAACGTTTTTGCTCGTTTTAGTGGAGCTTGAGAGATTTAATGTCAGATAAAACCATAGTTCAGTCTTCTCAAGTCTTTTCAAGTGACCGGAGCTCATGGGCGAAATCTGCCGGTCAACACGTCAGCCCAGCGACGTGTATTGGTCGCTTTGTTCCAGGAGTCCCAAAGCATGAATTCATAACCCCAGAAGAACAGCAGTGGTTTAACTATCTTGAAACATATTAGGCGAGACGTACGTTCCGTGCTTTATGCTCCAGGGGAAAATATAATGAATCACGTGTAGAGGAAGTGTTGCGCTTTCCAAGAGCCACGTGTCTTAGCTGATCCTGTGGACATCCTTGTAAAATTCGTTTTGTGTGGTCTTTTATGCAAACCGTAGCCCGGAATGCTTAATACGTTTTAATGAGTTAGTTAATTTCTCCTTCCAAAATTGAGAGACAAAGAAGCATTTTCTGAGGACGTTTGAAAAGAGATGGAGTCAGCGATGCAGAGATGCGGGAGGGTTGTTCCAAGTGGCGAGATGCACACAGAGGAAGAGGCTTCTGCACCGGCGAGGGTGGTGCGACGTTGCCAAAGCACAGTGAGAACCGGGTGGGCGAGGGAGAGATGAGGTCAGCTGGAGAAACTCGCCTCGGGAGTTAAAGCTGTTTTGTCTGGACCTGGAAAGGAGACGTGAATGGGAAAAGCAGGGAGCCCTGCTTGGGGAGAGGAGAATGCGAGGGTGTGACGGAGGATGCGGGGCCAGAGGGAGTCACGCCGAGCCAAGCGCTGAGCGCTTGAGGTTGAGCACGTGCGGCTTCAGCTGGATGCACGGGTGGAGGTGGTGGAGACCTGTGTCTCTTCTGAGCACAGGTTAGTTTCTTACTGCACGGCACTGAGGTGAATAATAAGCTTCTGGCTAAAAGATGGTGCTTCAGGAGGACATCTGCTCCTGCTGTTCAGGTGCGAAAGTCAGAGACTCGCGTAGAATCACGGAATGGGTTGGGTTGGAAGGGACCTCAAAGATCATCCCATTGCACCCCCCTCCCTGGGCAGGGACACCTCCCACCAGCCCAGGTTGCTCCAAGCCCCATCTGACCTGGCCTTGGGCACCCACAGCTTCTCTGGGCAACCTGTGCCAGGGTCTCACTGCCCTCACGGTGAAGAAACCTTGTGGATTGCTCAAATGTTTGGTCCTTCACAGTGTTCAAACATAAAAACGTGTGTCTGGTGGGTTGGTCTGAAATTACAGGGTTTCACTTTTTCAGGTATTGAATATCAGTCACTTTCTCAACTAAACAAGAGCCGTGGTGCTCGGTTTTTATTTTAATTTCTTTTTCCGGTATTCCCCTCACTTTTATGTTCATACAAGAGCACCTTTCCCGTCATTCAGATCAGAAAAAGAGAAAAGTCTTGGACTGTCCTTATAGACCATTTTCCCAGTAGCTTTATCATTCTTCAGGTTTCCACCATCACATGCTCATAACACAGCCAAAAGTTTCCCAGCATGACACGCGCAGAAATAACATCTCTTTATATCTTGAATAGTTGTCCTCTCGCCTTATGTAAAACTAAGTCTATTCTGTCCATACAGATTTCCCAATTAAAGTTGTGGTCTCAAAAGAATGGGATGAGGTTGGTTTGACATGACCTTTTTTTTTTGAAGTGTTTGGTATTAATTATATATCTATCCTTTAGGCCTTATTAAATTATCCAAATGTGTTTCATCTCATTAGCTCCTATCTTCTCTGTGGTGTTTAATTGAACGCTTTTAGCAAAGTCAGGCTGGAATGATCCAGACCAACTTGGCCTCTAGTTATCTGCCTCTTTCTGGTATTGGTATTCCATAAAGTACCCTGCCAGCTACATGAGTTCATCTAAAAAATCTCGGACTGTTAGTGGAAATTAAATATTAGAAGAAGAGGTTTTTCAAAATTGATAACTTACTTTTTTTTTTTTTCCGTTTGATCGTGTGGGTTTTGTTTTTTAACGTTTCCTTCCTTTGGCTGTTGAAATGAAGCAGATTTTAGCAAAAGCTGTCCACCAGTGATAGGAGAGAACTTGCACGTCATTACCACAGAGCTCTTTAAAATCAGGATCTGTTTCTGTTTTTCAGTCTGTTATTTTTCCCTGATCACCTTTTTGTGTGGTTTTGCCCTGCTTTGAGAAATAGAGCTGCGTTCCCGGTTTAGACTGTCCTCTGTCTGTGTGGAATGTAATGAGGTCATGATCGCTGGTGTTTGCCCAAAGGCGTAGTTGAGTTTAGCGATTGATTTTTGCGTTTGTGCAACTGTAACAGGGACCAAAATACGTGTGATAATGTCTGAGCAAGAAGATTGGCATGGGTCAGAATCGGTCTAGCAACGAGACCAAGGTTACAGACGGACAAATGCGGTTTTGCTGTTGCTATTTAGTAAAGAAGGGAGCTGTGTTTTTTAAGAAATGAAATTGGGGTGGGATTTAAATAACCTTGGTGAGTGCTGTCAGATTCAGAAAGAGAAAAAACCAAAATGCAAACCATACCCTGGGTGTGTTGTGTCTTTGAGTGATGGTCCTTTAGATGAGCTGAGCCTTCCCGCTGGAAAACCTGAGTGGGTTTTGCTGTGAGGAGGAGGATCTCAGCCAGATGTTCAAACAGAGCAGCTCCTTCCTGAGATCTTTCTTTGCAGGGCCATGCTAGACACGGGGACGGGGGGCTAAAGAGGAGTCACCGAGGGAAGCCGTGCTGGGATCCCCAGCTCCTCATCCCACTTGGCACCACTAATCCTTGTGCTTTGTGTTGGGCAGCCATCAAGACCGACGCAAAACCTGCCGACGCCAAGAAGACCTCTGCGAAGTCACCGTCTTCAGGTAACTCGCCTCGGTTTCTGTCTGAATCAGATCTTTGCTCGCGGCCGCGTTTGTTAGGCAGGTCACTGTACATCTTTAGGGCTCGTAAGTTTGTGTAAATGGGCTCTGATCTGTCTTTTTCCCCCACTTCCCTCCCACTATCGCTGCGCTAATCGTAGCAGACGTGAGCCGCCCTAAGAGCGCTACCGGGAACGCGGTGAAGAGCAGCGCCACTACCCCTTCTACCACCGCCTCCAGCACGACGACTGTACCCGGAGCGGCTAACCGTCGTCCCCAAAACAAGACCACTGCAACCAAGCCCACCACCACCTCGACCCTGGTGACAGATGCTAAAAAGACAACTGCGAAGGCTTCGACTAAACCCAGCACCGCTTCCAAGCCACCTCGCCCCACCAGCAGCGTTTCCGCTCCAGACCTGAAAAACGTGCGTTCCAAAATCGGATCGACGGATAATATTAAACATCAGCCCGGCGGAGGAAAGGTACGTTTTCCTCGTGCTCGGTAACGAACCTGCGCTTTGGAACGGTAGCTCTTCAAGCGTTAGGGGTGCTCTTTGCTAATTTTGGTGGCTGTATCCTCACTGCTCTTCTCCTTCGTGCTCCGCAGAGCTCCTCTTTGGGTTCTTGGTGTAGGCACAAGGTGTTAACCAGGCAGTGACAGCAGCGTACAGAAGGAATCCACCCAAAGAGCCTTCTCGATGTTTCCTGGCATACGTACAGGAATTCAAAATCCTGTGGTTCTGGTTTTCTGTCGTACGTCCTGACATTGGCCTCAAAAGCTCAAAATCTTGTCTGTGTTCAAAGCTTTGCCTTCAAATAGAGGAGTTGAGAAGGTGGAATAGAGCGCTACAACGCGGGAAATCTGGATTCAGGAGCACCTTTCCCAGGTTTAGGGATGAGGACTCTGTCAGGCCTAAAGCTGATAAGAACTGGGTCCAGCTTTGCTGCTCTCTGCATATCCTCCACAAGAAGAGAGGGGGGTGTTGGGTGAGCTGTAGGGAGGAACCTGTGCGGAGATACAACCTGAGGCTCTCCGGAATGGTCTTAAATTCCACTTCCACTGCGAATATCTACCGTGTAAATGATAAAGCTGTAGGGATGTCCCTGAACCCCCTTCTGGGGGTTTAAATAGTTTAAATAATGGTGAAACCTTTACTGGATATTGCACAGCAGATACACCCGGCTCTGCCTGACCGAGCGTGTCAGCAGCCTGCCCCCGGTCCGATTTGCCCCTTCTCTTTGCTGCAGGTCTGTGGGAATGAATAACTCGGTGAATAACTTGAACCTGATGCCAAGAGAGCACATTTTTCACGCTGGGAGCCTCAGTCTCCTCGCAGGCACATAAAGCCAGGGGCGCTCTTGGTGTGTGTCCCAGGCGGCGTCGATACAACATGGATTTGTTCCGCCGCGTGAGGAGCAGCCCGGTTGTACAGTATCACGGGACGGTCCTCAGAGCTCGGTCTTAGGGGACTGAAACTTCCGCTCCCCAGAACAAAGTTTCTGGAAATGACAAACCATTTCTGCTGGGAAAAAAACCGACTGAGGCAGGCAGGAGGGGTGGCCTTTTCCTGGGTCGTGTCGTGAAACCAAAGGGAAGTTCAGAAAGCCTTGTGCCCTCTGGTCAGAAACACACGGGATTCAGGATGGTTTTGTGATTTGAAACCGGGTCGGGGGCTCTGAGGATCACAGAGCTTTTCAGCTTACGGAGCTGTGGTGTCAGTTGAAGGGAATTTATTTTTACATTTAATTGTACTGTCCTTTATTCTCTAAATATTTTCATATAACTGTTAAATCCTGACAGTTGCCCTTGTAAGAAAATTGTCCTTTTTGTAGGCTTGTTTATGCTGAGATGTTTTTTTGAGAACCTGAGAATGCTGTAAAAGTGCTGGGTTGGTTTTTTTTGTTCGCTGTTCTGTGGACAAAATGTGAAATGCAGGGTTTACGTTGAGCTCCCCCTAAAATGCAGGTCCTGCTGCACTGGTCTGGGTCTAGATTGGCAGAAGAACACATGTTCTCAGGTAGTTGCTGAATTTTTCTAAAACCTGTAAAGTTTCCTTCAATTTTCTGCTTAGCTGGATTAGGTGAGTCCTAATTAGTTAAAAAATAAAATAAAATGTGAGCTTCTGATCTCAGAGCCTGAGTCAAATCAATGTGGGTGAGGCTCAGCGTATGCGTATCCAGCCGAGCTCTTAGAGCTCGAGGGTGAAGAAAATCAGCCGGGGGTGAGTTTGCCTCTGAGATCCCTGTAACGTCCTCCTCCACGTGCTGCTTCTCGGGCTGCCGGAAGATTGGGGTTCATTTTTTGGCAGGATATAACGGGCTGGAGCCACCGCCAACGTGGCCATTTGGGGAGATGCTGAGCTGCCGAGGAAGGGCACCTACAGGCTTTCTGAGAAACGGAGAATTTATTTGTTGCTTTGTGCCCCCAGGGTGCCTGTTCCACCCCGTGTGGGTGTTGCTTCCCCTCCACCCCCTTAGTTCTGAGCCTTCCCAGGCAGGGGACTCCGTTTTGCCTGAGGGTTTGCAGCCCGTGAGAAGTTCTCCCAGGTTCTCCGCTCCCTTGAAGCGAGTGGCTTGCGTGCCCGTGCTCTCCTGCCCACGTTTATGCTTTTGCTGGTTGAAATCATCCGTTTGTCTCCATCTAGGGGAAAATAGAGAAAAAGCCCGAATCAGCCGCTGCCGCGCCAAAGTCTGAACCCAGTGCAGTCTCTAAACTGGCTACTGCTAAAACAACCGTATCAAAAGAGGGGGCCCCAAAACAGCCCAATGGGAAAGTGAGTTTATTTCAGACTTTTCTCTGTGGGAGGTGAAGGAAAATCTTGCCCTTTTTTTGAGTCACTTCTCTCCAACTCTTCTGCTGTCTTCTGTCGGTGTCACTGTTCCTCGCACAGACACTCTCCCCATTCTTTCTTGTAAACCCTGCGATGTTCTCGGTGGGACGCATCCAGAGAGCGCTGCCGCAGGGATCTTTTCCTTGCCTGCCCTACATGTAGATGTTTCCAGAGTCCTCCGCTTTCAGTTCGGGGTAGGTGGGCTTAGCCTGGAGTCGGAGGTTTCCCTCAGGACCGGCCCTTCGTACACAGCACTGGTTTGTAACTGCGAGTTTATAGCGAGGAGGAGCGCGCCCAGTTCAGCGCTGCTCCTCTGAAGACCTAGGGATGGGAAGGGCTCCGGATCTCTCCTGCAATATTCCCATTTGTTAACTCCGTGTGACACTTCCTCCGGAGCTGTCACGGCCCCGGGTTTCAGCACGGGCGGGTGGGGAGCTTTAATTGCAGCATTATCAGGGAGAGCCGTTAGCGAACGGCCGGGGTTTGTACCTGCACGCTTCCACGGCACAGAGGCGTTTTCAGAGCTGCCCTTGCCCTGAATCCAGTCTTTCTGAACTGGCTCAAGGAGCTCTCGGAAAGCTGCTAAAGTGAGAACGTTCCGGTGATTCCTTTTGTGCTTTGAATTTGCCACCTCTGCCTAGAAAGTAGGATACAGCTTCCGCCGCGTTTTGTGCTTCACGTAACTCCCTGACTGAACACGTGTCGTAACTAACCCTCCTGAACTCTGACTCGGTTACTGTCTTGCTGAGTAAAAAGCTCACTCGGCGTCCTCCTTTTGTATTTTGAAAAATCAGAGAATCATCCAGGTTGGAAAAGACCTCCAAGATGTCCAACCGTCTACCCAACACTGTCATGACCACTAAAAAGTCCACATCCTTTCAGTTTAAAGGAGAAACAATCTAATTACCGTGAGACTCCCTGATAAAATCGCCCTGAAGGTCTGACAGGATTGTTTCTCAGACCGGGCTTTACCGCCCCGAGGTTTTGACAGATGTTGCCCAGGACCGGTGCCAGCCCGGGAAACAAAGCGCAGGCGCGAGCGGTGTTGGCAGACGTGGCCCCGCAGCTCCGATCCATGAGTTTAGCATCGGAGCTGGGCTCCCCCTGCCCCAGGGGAGCTTTTGGAGGAGCTTCAGGGGGACGTCGCCCAACATGCCCTCGCAGCGATGCTGACCCGTCGAGGACGCGGCGAAGCGGGCTTCACGGTGGCGCTTACGCTCTCGCACTAACCCTGTCTGTGCAGCCTCTCGTTCCGTTCACTTTTTATTTTCTCACTCTTCCTCCTCAGTGGCTCTCACACCTAATACTTAAAAGTTGGGTTGAGTTTAACACGACTCCTTGTTGATCCGCTGTGTTAGAGCACCCACTCCAGCCTGCCGTATGACAACTCTAACCAGTCCTCTTCCCTTGTGTTGTTTTCCATTCTGTAACATTCCAGGTCCAGATAGTCTCCAAAAAAGCGAACTACAGCCATGTTCAGTCCAAGTGTGGTTCCAAGGACAATATTAAGCATGTCCCTGGAGGTGGGAATGTAAGTATGGGCTCTGGGCAAGCTGTCTTTCTACTAACTCCTCTCGTGCGATGTTTGGTGTGTGTCGGTCTCGAGAGCGCTGTGTGTCAGGCAGAGAGGTGCGGCGGAGTTTCAGGGCTTCTGGAAATGGTGCAGGCTGGACAACCAGTGTTTTTCCGTCCCCGTGGGGTGCTAGGTGCAACGTGTGCCTTTTGTTTCGTAGCGCTGCAGATACACCCCACCTTCTTCTCGCGTGGTGTACGCGGCATTCGTGGCCGATCGTGGGATCATAGAATCATAGAATCACAGAACAGTTCAGGTTGGAAAAGCCCCTTGGGATCATCAAGTCCAACCATTGACCCTACACTACAAGTTCACCCCTAAACCACATCACCCAACACCCCATCTAAGTGACACTTGAACACATCCAGGGGTGGAGACTCAACCCCCTCCCTAGGCAGTCTGTTCCAGGGTCTGACCACACATCGTCGATCGCAGAGGTTGGTTTTAGCTCGCTGTGGATTCCCTCCGCGGTCAGTGGAGGCTCCTCGTCGGTCCTCTGACCTATTTCAGATGTCTCGTTTCTCACATGAGTTGTGGCCCAGAAGTGCCTCTCACTCTTGACTGGCTAATAGAGCGAGCCCGAGTCAAATAAACTTCATTTTCTTGTTTCCCGAGAAGGGAGATTTTGAAAAAGAAAGAGGAAAAGACTCTGGGGCTTAATCTTTGAGCTGCGATTAATTTCTAAATTTAAAGGCTGCCGGTATCTCTGGCAGCAGAGCTGAGCTTATTAAAATAGAAGGCTAATCTCGTGTACTTGGTTTGGGGTATTATATCCTGAGAGCATCTTGCAAGAAAACCAGGTTAACTATCGGGGTACTACAGCTTTTGAAAACACGGCTGTGGTTTGGCAGCCTCGTTTCCTTGGGGGCCAACCTGTACTACCTCAAAAAGCCCGCGCAACGCTGTTTGTACCCGGGGCTGTGCAGGAATACAAGGATCGGGTGGTTTCCAAAAGACACCGAAGTGGGATTTGCCATTCTCCTTTGGTGTTTCCGTGACTCGCCCACATTTGTGGGAGCACACACGTGTGGGGCTGTGTGTGTGTGTGTGTGTGTGTGTGTAGCTTTCTGTAGAAACGGGAGAACTCTCTGAGCCATAAAAGGAAAAACCCAATGTCAAGCCCATCGTGTCACTTGGGTGCCCTCGTGGTATTTTTTTTTTAGCTGTGCCTGTTTCTGTTCCTGCCGCCTGTTTCCTCTGGGTTTGTCACCCAGGTTCGGAGCAGACTGTTTGTACATCGTCGGGGTTTGTGGCAGAAGTGCCTTTGGCTCTGCTCTTCCCGAGCAGCTGTTGCAGCTGAACCGTGTGTGAGGAGCTGCGTTTTACAAGCCACTTGGATTTTGCCACTTCCACCTCGTACAGCCTTTTAGTGGACAAGTCTCCCGCACACTTGCCCCTGGTTTTGAGGCCAACAGAAATGTGATTTAAATGCGGCGGATATTTTTCTTGCTTGATTAACTACATTAGGGGAACTGTTCTTCTAATCACCAAACCTGTCCTTTCCTCTGCCCTGTCCTGTCCCGGGGACATTCCCAGCTCTAGGGGACAGGTGTGTGCCTGCCTTCTTTTCCTCCTCTTCCACTCTCTCCTTTTACCACTGCAGTTTTCCTCCTTGCTCAACTACTCAAGCTTTTTGCTTTGAGAATAGAGAATAAAGTGCTTATTATTTCTAGGTGTCAAGCGCCCCCAGACCAGCTCCAGGCAGTTGCCCCCTGTTGTCCATCGCCCCAAACCCAGCACAGGCAGCACCAGTGGGAGTGGACGAGACACTGTGGTCAATAGAAGCTGTAGAAGTATTTCCTTTTATTCGTTTTTATGCCTCCTCACCCTCTTTGGGACACAAATATCAGCATCCTCTTCCAAGGTGTTTTCTTGTTTAGATAGGACAATCCCTTCTGACAGGAGACTTCCCAGGTGTCACCCCTGAGCCACACTGCTGAGGGGGGATGCCT